AACATAGTGAGACCCCCCTCTATACACAGATTTTAAAAATAAGCCAGGCATGGTGGTATGCAACTGTAGTCCCACCTACTCGAAGGCTGAAGTGGGAAGATCACTTGAGCCCAGGAGGTTGAGGCTGCAGTGAACCAGGACTGCACCACTGAACTCCAACCTGGGCAACACAGCGAGACCCTTTTTCAAAAAAAAAAGAGAGAGGGCCAGGTATGGTGGTTCAAGCCTGTAATCCCAGCACTTTGGGAGGTGGAGGTGGGCAGATCACTTGAGTTCAGGGGTTCGAGACCAGTCTGAGCAACATCGTGAACCCTCGTCTCTACCAAAAATACAAAAAATTAACGTCACTCCAGCCTGGGCGACAGAGTGAGACTCTGTCTCAAAAAAAAATAAAAAAGAAGGAAAGTATTCACCACTGCCCACCCCCACCCCCAAGAAAAATCACACAACACCAGGCCAGACGATTTACAAAATCTACTACACTTCAAGGAACAGATAATCCCAATAGCCTATTAACTCTTTCAGAAAAGAGAAAGAGAAAGAACATCTGCAAACTCCTTTTCATGAGCCTAGTGTAATCTTAAAAACAAAAACTAAAGCAGACAAGGACGACATGAGACAAGACTACCAACCAATCTTGCTATGGGCATAAATTCAGAAATTCTAAACACAATATTAGCCTACCAAACCCAGTATTGAATGACAAAAAAAGATATGCCATAACCAAGTAGGGTTTGCCCCAGGAATCAAAAGATGATTAAGTACTAGAAAAATATAATACTGCGTTACAGTAACAAAGGAGAAAAACAATATGATCATCTCAATAGATGAAGAAAAAGCAATCCATAAAATTCAACCCTTACTATTGATTTGAAAAAAACCTACAGAACTTGGAACAGAGGAAACCCTCATAGCCTAAGTAAATGGTATCTATCAAAAGTCATCAGCCGGCCAGGCATGGTGGCCCACACCTGTAATCCCAGCACTTTGGGAGGCTGAGGTGAGTGGATCACTTGAGGTCAGGAGCCTGAGACCAGCCTGGCCAACGTGGTGAAATCCCGTCTCTACTAAAAACACAAAAATTAGCCAGGCATGGTGGCTTCTGCCTGTAATCCTGCTACTGGGGAGGCTGAGGCAGGAGAATCGCTTGAACCCGGGAGGCAGAGTTTGTAGTGAGCTGAGATCACGCAGTTGCACTCCAGCCCGGGCGACAGAATGAAACTGTCTCTCAAAAAAAAAAAAAAAAAAGCTGCCGTCATACTAATGAAATGTTAGGGTTCCTGTCAAAACCAGAAAGGAAGCAAGGATGCCTGCTGCCACCACTTCTAGTTACCAAACGAAGGAAGACAAGAAAAAGAAAAAGAATCATGATTGGAGAAATAAAACTGTCATTATTTCCAGACAGTCTGATTGTCTATGTAAAACACCCTAAAGAACCAAGAGGAAAAAAACGATTACAATTAACCCAGAGGAAAAGGCTGAGGCTGGACAGGGAGCCCAGGTCTCCGGATAGCTGGCCGGCTAAGGCGGGTCCCCACGCCCCACCCGCCGTCATGGCTGCTCTCTGTCCTGCTCCCCCGGGACCCCCCTCTCAATGACAGACCCAAATTCCAACTGCACTTGTTGAAGACCCACTCTGGCTACCTTTGCTTGCTCCCTGTGCCAGGGGTCTTAGTGAGACGGGGACTGAGTCCTGCTTGGGGAGAGGATTTGCCCACTTCGAGTCCCGCATGCTGAGGTGCGGCGTCAGAGTTCTGGCCTTGGGGCCAGGGCCTTGTGGATGTGACAGCCACCCTCTGTGTGTAAGTGAGATGTGCTTGGGCAGAAAAAGCCTCAGAATGTGACTACACCAGAAGTTTCCGCTAGACTCTGGTTACAGCCATGGGTTGGGCACTGACCCTGTGGAGGAACACGGGCTTGCAAGGGCTCAGCCTTGGCAGGGAGCAAGCTCTCCTCTCTGTGGCATCATCTGGCAACTTGTGCTTGTCTCCCCAGTTAGTTACTTCCCAGTCACAGGCCAGCAGGCTCCTCAGACCTGACAGGCAATCTGCCCTGCTGTGGCCAGACTGGAAGCAGAGGGCACTGGAATGCAGGTCGCTAGGGCCCAGGGCACTGACCCACCTCAACCCTGTGCCACCTGCCAGGCTTGGCTCTCATCTCTCCCCATCCTCTCTGGCAAACACATCCTCCCATGGCCACTGCATCAATGGGTGGTTAACAAGCTCCTCATCCCTGTCAGATCCAATCAGCCCTTGTTACTTCACTGGGCAGCAGAACCCACAGGGAAGCTGTGTGGGCTGGGTTGCCAGGAAGCTGGGCATGCGAGCACGGAGGTGGCAGGGACAGAGACAGCCAGTCTTCACCTCCTCATGCCAAGGAGAGGGTAAGCCCAGGGTCAGGGGAGAGCTCTGGAGGGATCAAAGGAGGTGAGGCTGTGGGAGAGAGGCAGGGGCTCAGGCAGAAGGGAACCGGGAGGCTGAGGAACGCCTCTGAACAGGGGCCACGCCTGACCCTCAAAGAGGGTGACTCTTGCGCTCTGGGAAGTGGCCGCAACAGCACCCACAGGCCAGAGTGCACGCTGAAGCTCGACTGTCCAGGGGCGCACTCGACCCAACAGAGCCCACATGGGAGGAGCCGAGACCTTCCACCAGCAGCCACCAGCCGCTGTCAGCCAGGCTAAGGAACTGCGAGCAGCTGGACCCAAGGATGGGTATTAGTTACCTACTGCTATGTAAAAAACTCACCCCAAAACTCATGACTTAAAACAACCATATGCATTTCTCACCTCCCACTGGGGTCAGGCATTCGGGACCCACTTGGCTGGGCATTTCTGGCTCAGGCCCTCGGTGAAGCCGCAGTCCCTATCTCAGCCAGGGCTGCTGCCACTAGAAGCCTTGGCCAGCTGGGAGGATACACTTCTAGGCAGCGTCTTCGCCTTGCAACGAGCTGCTGCTGTTGACCGTTGGTGGGAGGCCTCGGTTCCACATGGGCCTCTCTACTGGGGACTTGGGTCAACTGTGCCCCCAGACAGTTGAGCTTTGGTGTATCTCTGCCATGTGGGCGCTGCTGTGGCCTGCCACTTGAGATGCAGCTCTGAAATTCGAGGTAGCCACTACCCTTCTTCGGGAGAGAGTCCATGCAGGAGAGGGACTTGATCCAGGATTAATGAATAGCATCAAAGAGCGTGAGGTCCACACAGGAGCAGGCTGGAGCCTGTGGCCATCCTGCCACCACCCCTTGTGAGGCACCAGGACTCCCGACCACTGCCCTCTGCTGTCCCTTGCATCGCAGCCAAGGGCTCCTGTTCCCTCCCCTGCCCAAGGTTCTCACTTCCTCCGCGAGGGCACAGGTTATGAATTCAAATGCCTGCAAAAGCGAGTATGTGAAAAAGTCAGGTGTGACAGGAACTGGGGAGCCTGTGGCAAACTAGAGAGTGCCTGAGGGCTTATGCTGCAGAAATCAATTTTTTCCTGCCATACTGGCCCAACAAATGGTAGCTGCCAGATTTGGCCTCTGTCCACCCGTCTGCAACTCAAACACCGCAGGGGATGAGATGAAAGCAAAGCCAAATCACGACCCCACAGCTGCCCCTTACACACACACACACACACACACACACACACACACGGCGCACACACACCTGTACCGGTGCTCCGGGCAGGCTGGAGAGCGAACCAGTTGCCCTTTGCCCAGGTTGTGGAGCCATTAGGCTGGATCCCTGTGAACCGCGAGGTCGGCCCGAAGTCCCTTCCCGCACTCCCCTGTTCCCTCCGTCCACCCCCGTCCAGATCCCTTCGGACTCATCCGGAGAAGGGAGCGACGGAGGGAGGCGCCGTGGACGCCGCAGCCAGGGTTCTGGGGCAGCCGAGAGGGTGGCGAGTGGCGCAGGGCGA